GTCCGATTTCTATATGTGCATAATTCTGTCTGAGCAAAAGCTCCACTGCTCTCAGATGTTGTGATTTGCATGGATTTTAAAAAGAGAGAGGGTGGATTTCCAGGACACTCATGAGTGATTGTGACCAGAGAGCATGCTGGATTAAAAAGCTGTGTCGTTGACAATGAGATGAGGGGGAGCAGGAGAAGAATAGAAACAAGGTGATTAGAGGCCAAGGCTTGACATCAGTCTTAGGAACGACATTTTTCTGATTTGCATGTCAGGCAACTAGATGAGAAGACCAGAAAAATTATGTTGCAAGGATAGACTGATAACATGAGAGTGATGAAACCAAACAATGTGTGTTGAAATATCCAAGTGTTTTAATAAAACACTGTTTCAAGTGTTAAACCATGAATAATCTTGCTATAATGGGCTTCCAGGGAGATTTATTTTAATCTTTAAAAGTTTTAAAATATTATTTCTTCAAATTTTCTGACATTTTATTATTTATTTACTTTAATTTGATTTTGTTGTGTAGTGTATGTTCAAAGAAATGAAATGCACAGACGAAAGGTTGGTTTAGGCTGAAAATCGACTCCACAAATGAACACAGAGTAGTATCAACGCAATGACGTTACAAGTGGCGAGTGTCCTCTGGGTTTACGGAATTACGCATGGTTGTGCTGGAGCGGATCTAGTTATCTTTAATTTCTTTTCCAAGCTTATCAACACAATCTTTTCAAGAAGGTTGAAAATAAAGACTTCTGTCCACATCATCGTCTGCCATGGTTGTTTTTATTGCGTCTCTCCGTAGCAAGACACAGAATAGTGACCTTTGTTGAGTATTAATGGCGTACAGGTCGGATGAATGCAACTTGGCCGTTCAGATACAGGTCCGAAATGTATCGGATTCAGGAACAGAGAACCACGTGGCCTGGGTAGCGTTTGAAAAATCTGTGGAAGTGTGTTGTTCAGACTATCGTGAAAAGATCAGATCCAGGTCGCATAGAATCAATTTGGGTCACTTCAGGCTCAGTGTGGACGTAGCCTTAATGGCTGTTAGTGTAAAGGCTGCAGTGCCACAGCCAATACATACTGTAAACGCACAGCTACAGTAATGTTAAAAAGTAGAGAAAAAATGGGCTTTCAAATACAAAATAAATGCTAGTAAACAGTAGATGAATGCACAAGATGGATGCATGCACAACGTTCTATGCAATTTCCTTTATAGATCAAACTCTTGACAGAAGGTTTGCATCCAAAGCTCCATCTGCTGTTCGGCCCACATCAAGCCCACATTTAACCATACAGTAGTAGCCAGAATCAGAATATCCCCACTTTCCTTGGCTGGTCCTTTGCTGGTCCCCTACAATTCATTTTTAAACATTTGTCATGATTTGTGAACATTAAGATCTAAAGAGATTCTCCTTCTCCTGGTCAGACCCTGTAATTCAGTGAAAGGTTGGAGTCAGAGTAAAGAAGTATGCATGGCCAGGTGTAGAAGGGGGTCACTCCAGTAGCTGGAAGTTGGCTGCCATTCGGCTGGTGTTTAACTGGAAAGGGCCATTTAGAATGGCTGTTACTGTAAATGGTCCATGCAGTGCTCCACATGAATGTCACGGTGTATTTAAATGAGGCACCTGATCAATGTTATTTAATGGTTACCAATAGCAACCGCAGCCAACAGAGGAAAGAAAAGCACAGTTTAACCAAGGTGCTTGTGTGGAACGTCAGAGAAATATATCCGGTTGCCACAATAATAAGTCTTATTAATGACACTCCCAGAATAAGATGTAGACGTAATATTTACAAGAACATCCAGCCACCTTTTACCTATTGTTCACTGTATCCATGATTTCTAGAAAAAATGACAGTATTATTTTGATCCTATTAACGGATTTAGGCAGGGAATCAATTAATTGCTGATTTTTATTTTTATTTTTTTTTGTGCAGAAATTCATGCCTTTAAGAGCAGACAGGAAAAATACAGTTGTTAACAGATGGTATTAACAAAACAATAAGAAATCTGCTGATCTGGGAAGAGCAGCACACACCTTTCAAGGTTGGAAATGGTCAAGGATGGCAGTGTTAAGGCTACAGCAAATTTAATTTAGTAAACTAATCTGTCGTAGATTATTTTGGATTTATGATAAACTGAGGCATGAAGCCTTTTCCATTTTTGACCCATATTTAACATTTAAATCATTTATTTGTGTAATTCATGGATACATTTTCAAGTCTATACTGTACATCCATCCATCCATCTTCTAACACGCTTAATCCCGAGCGGGGTGGCGAGGGGTGCTGGTGCCTATCTCCAGCTGTCAATGGGCGAGAGGCGGGGTCCACCCTGGATAGGTCACCAGTCTATCACAGGGCAACACAGAGACAAAGAGGACAAACAACCATTCATGCACACACTTACACCTAAATGGTAAATGTCCTGTACTTATATAGCACCTTTATACAAGTCAGGAGACTTCACCAAAGCGCTTTACACTACATTTATTCACCCATTCACTCACACACTGATGGTGGCAAGCTACATTGTAGCCACAGCTGCCCTGGGGCTCACTGACAGAAGCGGGGCTGCCATACATTGGCGCCACTGAACCCTCTGACCACCATCAGTAGACAATGCAGTTTATGTCGAAGTGTCTTGCCCAAGGACACAACGACACTGAAAGTCAGAGCCAGGGCTTGAACCGTCAATCCTTCGATTTCAGGGTAAACTCCTACATCCGACGCAGTAAGGAGAATTTAGAGAAGCCAATTAACCTAACAGGTTAGTTAGGTTAATTGTGGTATATATATATATATATATATATATATATATACCACAAATTGTTTTCAGGTGTGTTTCTTTAGAATGTGCACCCAGATTTGGATTTATGTGCACTGAACAGAGGTGTCAAGTAATGAAGTAGCTACAAATACTTTGTTACTTTACTTAGGTAGAATTGTTGGCTATCTTGGTAGACATTGTTGGAAAGCTTAGATTCTCCACAATTCAACCACCTAGTTCATTTTATGGACATAGTGATCACCAAAGCACAATTAACACAGACATAACAGCATGTCAATTATATAAACATGACAAAGCAGCAACAACAAGCAAGCATGTCTTTATTACTGCTGTTGAAAAAAGACCTATTATTTTTGTGAATTAAAATAAAATAACTTTGTCTTGTTTGAACTGATGCGGCTTGTGCTGTGTTTTACTCACCCAATATTCATATATATTTAGAAATAAGAAGGTGTTAGCTTTCAAACAATGCATCACATATGTAATTTGGGCTTACAGTTAATAAGTTCTTTGCTTTTCCACTTGGGTGTGTAAGATAGGTGAGAATTTCCCGAAATGAGGTGGATGTTAAGAGGCTAGAACAGGGATTACCAACATGGACCACATTACCGCCCTCAGAATCTTCACCAGTGGGTTAAGATTTAAATTTTATTGTATTCTGTTGCTCTTCTTTTTTAATTATTTGTGCAGCATTTCATCATAGAAATCGAACAGGGCATTTAAGCATTTATGGATATTTTAAAATGACAACATCTAAAAGAAAAATTTAAATGAAAGTAAACATTAAAAATATGTTTATATATAAATTTTAGGTGAACTCTGACCCCTCCAGCTAGCAGCTCTGTATTAGTAGCCCTTCCTATGAGTCAGGAATGAAGGAGCCCTCAGCCTTTAAAATGTTGGTGACCCCTGCTCTAGAATAGTTGAATTATAGAAGTTAGTGTCCTGATCTTGGCACCTTTTCCCTAGTTCCCTTCTAGACCCCTCTGTTCACACCTGCTCCCTATCTGCTGATTAGCCTGGTCTGTGCTTTTTTCTCCCTTAAATGCACCTGCTGCTCAGTCACTGTTGCTGCTTAACAGCTGCTATTAATGATGCTGAACATCTTTTATATACATCTTAAGGTGTTGTATTGAGTCATTGAATGCTTATTTAAAATCCCTGTCAAAGCCATATTTCTACCACCAACTGGGACAAACAATAAGGTGCATTCTATTGAATTTTTCTTTGATAAAAAAATGGGTTTGATATGAACTAACTTAGGCTGCCTAAAAGAGAAAACATAACTAAACTGTAAATTTCTTTGAGCAAATATGTTTTTCTTATTACTGTGCTTAGTTTTAAATTTCTCTTTTCATTACAAAAATTCACATCGTCGTCCCTCCATTGTGTGCCGTTGCTTTCTCTGGCACTCTCATCTCAGTTTCATTCTTACTGGCATCCCCAGAGTTTGGTGTGTCTAACCAAGCTGTCCATAGCCGTCAGTCACACACCAACTTCAAGCCTTTTGGGAGGAAAAGGCCAGAATAAAAGTCACTACATTTATTTCAATATAATACAAAAAAACAGGGTGATATTGTTTTTTTTTTAACAAAGGACTGTTAGGTTTTATTATTTATACATCATGTGCCTTGTTATTTTGTTAGTCAGATTAGACAGAGCAGAAGGCCTTCCTTCACATTGTGGATGTCACTGTGTGTACGGAGGTCATCTAATCGGGACAGCCTTCGTGTCTTTAAGAAAACACAGGATATGGGCACATCTTGGAGCCGGTCTGATAGGAGAGCTACTGTATCTGTAACCCTGAGACAGAGAGGCAACCTGCATGGAGTTCAAGACATGGATGGCGTGTCAGTTTCTGATACGGACAGCTAAGCATCCACATGATGCAACACAGACTCAGAAGGTATAAGAAGCAGGAGATGATGTTGTTCAGGGCTCAAACTTTGCCGGACGCTTGCGGACGTGATTTTTGAGACCACAGCTGTGCATAGCTCTAAGCATTTTTCTCTGTCCTGTAACGACCTGATCTGGAATAAACTCTGTTACTTTTTTACTCCTGTTTTTATAGTCCTTTTTTATATGGTTTTACCGAGTTTGAGTTAAGAGTAGTAAATAACTTGCTCCCAGGAAAAGAACCGATGAGGAGGCCCCCGGGGCGCTACAGCCTTTACTTCCAAGGGGACAAATCCTCCTCACTTTAACAAATTGGTGTTTCCACCCGGTTTCGAACCAGGGACCTTTCGCGTGTGAGGCGAACGTGATAACTACTACACCACGGAAACCATTGATCCTCCTTAAAAGTTACTCATTTATCAGCTCTTTAAAACTATGGACGCTCACAAAACTCTAATCTGCATTAAGAAACCTTAAAAAAAAGCCTTTCAGGTTCTTTTAACATATAACATCAGTTAGGTGGTTTGGTCATGTTGTTGTTTCTGTGATAAATGTTTAGACCAGTAAGAATCAGCTTCTTTTTTTATGGCCAAGTACTGTTTTTAACACACAAGGAACTTGTTTTGGTGATAAGGGTCTACACATTAACTTGTATACAAACACTTATTAAATATGGTAATATAAAAATTGTGATGCTCAAAATTACCATTTGTTTATGACTAGCTGCATGACGCCTGTTAAAAAACAATAACACATTGAAATTACAAACATACAAATTTTTGTACATGAATCGGAAAATATGCAAGACTCTTAGTCAAACCATACAAGACACCTAAATAGAGAATTGTTGCAGTATTAAAGTAACACAGACACATGGCCCAACACAGAAGAGCGACCTCCGCGGGACAAGTCTCAGCGATACAGCTACACCACATCTTACCTTAAGGACGAAAATCCAACCCCATAATCACAGCTCTATGGAGCAGCATCAGACTCATATTCTGACTAGAATTGAGTAGGACTACGTCAGGCTAGGGCCAACTTCACTCAGGTCAAACTGCCACTCCCTAACTGCTCCCTGGCGCCACACGGTGGCAGCCCACTGCTCCCCAAAGGGATGGGTTAAATGCAGAGATAAATTCTCCATTTTGAGATCCACAAAGTAAAATTATTGTTAGATACTGTCTGCCAGTGTGTGTCAGGCTGGTAATGAGAACAGTTTAGAACTAGATGTTGCTTCAATTAGGTTAAGATTGTTTTCTGATCTCATTTCTTCACATTATCTTGAAGCCTTGCCCTCTGTGTCATCCCCCCCTCCCCTTCATGTTCCAATAAAGTCAATTCTTAGCCTACGTTACTGCAGCTGCCATATTAGCAGGATTGATATCCTGCAGGGGTGTGGAAATGATGTTTCTTAAAAACGAGTGTTTAGTTTTCTTTTTTTTTTGCAATCACAATTATATTAATTGTCTTGTAGTATCAAATATCTAAAATATTTATATGTTTGACTTTACTACATATTATGTAATCTAAATTTTTGGGTCAAGAAAGAGGGTGTATATGATGATTTAAAAATAAGAGTGGAGACCAGTCACTTCACCAACCTCTGAGATTCACATTATCTCTTAGCTCATCAGTTGGAGGATCGGATGAGAGAGAAACCCGGCATGTCTATCATTACCCAGCCTCCTGCAGGACAATCTCCTTTAGAAAGGACCGCCCACAGTGACACACTCAAATTATTCATGGGAATTGCAGACCACCTTGCACCTTGCAGGAGTATCACTCATCCATCTGCAGACAGATGGACACTTTAATATGATAGTGTGAAATTGGAGTGTCTCTGAAGAACCTCCCCAAAAAATCTTATTTCCACTGTCTTCCCTACCAGAGGTAAGTCTTATGAAAAAAAAAAGGTTAATTAGTTTCTTTTTTCTGATTGATCATGTTAAATATCCTATTTTTACTTCATTTTAAATCAATTTTCCTTGAACTTATTGAAATATCTTGTTCTAAATGTTACTTTACAGCAAGTTTAACTTTTGGCTGAGATAGAAATGAGTATCAAAAACAGGACAGGAGCAGGTAAGAAAAGAACATACTCTATTTTTTTATGCATCTTGAGAATCCTGCTGGAAAGATTTGTAATGTCTTAAAAACTTATTTGGAAATTCATGTTCTTAGAAACTTGTAGGAAAATCACAAACCTGGACTCAGGCATGACTGACAGAATGAGGATAGAGATGTTGTGAGAAAGGATGGACCTAAATGAGGAAAACCTCTCCACTAATAAGATAAGCTTTTAAGAAAGGAATCATGTATCACATGTTCCATCAAACATCTAATTATTATGGGAGCGGGATTTCGGCTGTGGATTGTTGTCATGGATATTTCTGATCAAACTTCCTTGGCTACAAATCTGGCTGAGTACTTTTTGATAGATGTGCCTTTCTGCTCCACTTTATCTACTGTGTAAACACTTCAGAGTGGAAAAGACTAAGAACACATTTACTCCCAGTTGCACACATTGCCCTACTTTGGTCCAACACTGCAGCCTTTTTTTTCCCCTTCTTTCTTCATCTTCTGATGTTTGCTGAGAGTTCTGGGAAAAAGGATGTTTGCATTTGGACTGAAAAAGGAATGTAAAAACTCAACGTTTTCTTTATATTCCTAAGCTTTTATGTCTTGTCACATCTAGTGCAAAAGTAAAAAAAAGTCTCACATGTTAAAGAACAGAACCTCTTTCTTAATCTTTAAACCTTCTAGACTCTATTTTCTCTTTTGAACTTTGTATTTTACTCCTCTTTATTGACTTTGTTCTTCAAGTAAGCAGTTTTCCAAGGAGCGGGTATTAGGTTCACATCAACAGCCAGTTCATTTGGTTCTTCACTTGGAAAAGCTGCTACATTTCATAACACCTGCACTTTTCACACAAAAGCAGTTAGTGAATGGGTGTTTGGTCACATGTTGTAAGTTTTGTGGGGTGCTGTGCAAAGTGCAAGTTAAGCAGGAGACTAGTCCTCATTGCCTGATTAAGCCTGACCTGTTCCCAGTGCATGCTGGACTCAATCAGGGCTGACCTATCTCAGTTCGGTTTATTTCTATAGTGCCAATTCACACTAAGCATGCTTGTAGCGACAGTGGAGAGGAAAAACTCCCTTTTAACAGGAAGAAACCACAAGGACACATAAGCAGACATAAAGAAATATACAGATATACAAAAGGAATTGGTCAACCAGCTCCACAGGCGGCCAGGAAACACACAGCCAGGCAAACGGGCTCCGGGCCAACTCCAATCCAATTTAGCTCCAGAAAGAGACAATATTTTGTTAGAATGACTTTTAAACTTTTCTTTTGCAATCTGTTATTTTTAGGCCTATCCATCTTCCCATTCACTTAGACTACTTTTCTTGTCCCTAATGAAAAACACCCCCCCAGCCCATAGCATGATACCGTTGTTATGTTCTGTATTGTCATGGAATAGTCTGCATTGTGCATGAAGACCTTTAGGTTAAAATGTGTGTAGGAACGCTTCCCAGCACATCCTTGCTCTGTCATATACTAACCTGACTCCTCCAGATGGATTTGCTCTGCATATCCATCTGGAAACCTTCCGTTGAAGTAATTTTGGGAAGGGGCGAAAATACTGGTTAGCTGACTGGCCTATGTTGGTGATAGACGGGCCAAATAAACCAATCAGATCAACAAAGTATATGACTTACTAACAGAGCGATGACGAAGAGGAGCTAATTGATAGATCAAACTCTTGCCGAAACCAGTCGGGAGAAGAGCAAAAACATCTTTTCCTCTGAGAAAAGCCTCCAGAGCAGTGTTTTGCTCTTCTTTCAGTGAAGAAATACTCTGTAGTTCCGATAAAACTTGCTCGATAGCCACGCTAACGCTAGTTTCATCGGCTGAAGCCGCCATGTTCTTTAGACTGAACTGTCGCGCTTCTCGTTGCGTCACACCTCAACCCGCCTCAAAGCCAACGCTGATTGGACGTTCGTTTGGTGAACGGCTCCAAATTTTCTTCAACGGAGAGTCTCCAGACTGATTTGCGATTGAAACCTTGAAAGCTCGCGAGATCAGGATGTTCTCACGAGGCTAGTCATATACATAACTTGTTGAAAATGTCAACTAGTTTTCCCCTCAACAAATTTTTTGTATCTGCAGGTCCTCTGGTGTTTCTAGGGCACTCAGCCTGTTAGATTAGTTAAACATTTACATTGTTTTTTTTAAGTTGTTCAATTCTCTTTCTATTTTCAGATCGAAGACTTAAGAATGCTCTAGGCAAGGATTGCTCAGTTTCAGTCCTCTAGAACAGTTGCCCTGCTCTTTTTAGATGCCTCTGCTGCAACATGCATGAGTGAAATAATGAGGTCATCAGCAGGACTCTGAGGAACTAGAGTTCATCCTGCAGAGGTAATTCAGCCATCTGATTCATTCAAGTGTGGAATCAGAGATGCATCGATAAGGTGCAGGGCACCAGAACTAGAGGAACGTAATTGAGGAACCCTCCTCTGGACCCTGTAGTCAAAACCTACATGTGTTTGATTTACTAATAAGCATGCCTTAAAACTTCTAATGACCATGAATGGTGGCTGTATCAAAATGCATGCTGTAAAAATTGCCATTTGTAAAAATCTTATAACATGCATCCTTTAACACCCACTTTAATAATATGTACTGCATTTTATAAGTAGTTTAAATACAACTCTGATTAAATACATTAAAGTTTGTGGAAGTAAGGTCTAAAGGGGTTTGGATATTATTGCAAGCCACTGTATATCTTCACTTTCCTACTCAACTTTGGAAGTTTTATCATCTTAATTAAGAACAACATAAAAAAAGGCAACATCTGGTTATTTTCAAGCACACTAAAAGCTGAGCTAAACCCCTTTTTAATGAAGCTGGGTTTTTAAATCCTAAGGCCAAAGTACATTAAGGATTTACTCGGCTCAGGGGAGAAAATGACTTAAAAATCCACGTGGGGAAGAGAATGAAAATCCCGTTGCTGGTTTGCCAACTCTCCTGATGGATAGATAGATGGAATATAGATTCTTGTCCTCTGTGTTATTGTCTTTGTTCTTTCAAACAGAGGTCAGATGAGATCTTTAAAAACAGCATATTCAAGGTTAATGCTTTTGCTAGCCAAGAAAATTTCTAGATCACCAGGTAGAATGTTTATAGTAAGTAAACCTGATACGTAATCCCGTCACATTAAAAGTTAGTTTAGGTCTCCATTACGGGCTATTTATAAAGTTTGCAGCATTTATTCTAAATGTCACTGTTCTTATCTGTAGTAAAATAAAATATCTGAGAGGCCAAGAGAGTAAAATATAACAAAAAAAAAAAAATGTATCTTTCAAAATCAATGTGCTGAGGAAAT